AATAATAAGTCAAAATAGATTAATAAGTGAAGAAGGCCATATTTAGTCAAAGCTGATAATGGTGTTTAATTAATATAATAATTACGTAAACTGGAGATTATGAGATTCATGCAAAAATATTATTAGGCATCAACATCCGCTTTAACTAAACATAATCTTCTTTGTTTATTTTTGTAGTAAAAAAATAATATTCAGTTATTTAAAAATAATAAAAATAAACGTAGACAACAATATGTTTATTTTTATTATTTTTAATTTGTAAGCAAATAGGATAAATTAACTCAATACTTTTTTGTTCAAAAATATACGATGATGGCATTGAAAATTGCAGTCAATATCAAACCTTTTTTTTTTATTATACAAGATACGACCAATTTTGTATTTTATCGCAAGAGACTTTAGAAATATTTTTAGATTTTTCTCCCAAGATTTGCACTTACTTGCAACGGTTCACGAGTCAAAAGATTTGTACTCACTCGACGGTCTACGATTCAATTGACGACAGCTCCTCGTTTAGCGTATCTTATACGTGAGGAAGGAACACGCCCCTACCTGGTGAGGATTGTAAATCGTGCGGCATCTCTAATATGCGTCCATCATCGACGACAAGCCAGACACGTTTGTTCGTTGATTTCACATGTCAGCTTTGTAAAGTAAGTCTCGCCTCCGATGGCTACTCGATGGAAAAACATTGAGAAATGTCAGAAACAAAGAACATGTCATATTTGCATCAGAACGGTCAGGGCCGAATCTACAAAGCGAACAAAGCGATTTTGTTAGAATTTAATGAATAAATAAATAAATGACTATATATAAGTTTTAAGGACTTATTAATTAGCTTATGATTAGAGTTAAAACTTATAGCGTTTTCAGTCCGATCGGATTGTATCAACCTGGTTTGGATTAATGACGTTTCGTGTTCTTTTATTGTTAGAGTATGTAAAGTCAACCAATAGTAGAGCATTAATTCAATCCAGGTTGATGCAAACCCGGTCGGACCGAAAACGCTACAAGTTTTAACTCTAGTACTGCCACATGCTAATCATAATGAGACTCCTTAAAACTTATTTATTTATCCTCCAGCAATTCATCGCATTCCCTCGCCTTCGAATCGATTAAAAGTATATAGATCAGAGAGAGGTAAAATATAATTCCCATATTTTTGCGTTTATTTTATGAACGAAATTTTAAACATTTCGCGCGTTTAACGATGGTTAAAAGTAAAAACACCGAGTTTTCGTGTTTTGTTAATCAACGAAACGTGTACTGCGACCCTGGAAACAGCGAGGTGCGAGCACGGAAAGTTTTCTTCCACGATATTTCCTGAAGAAGCCGCCTGTGGGACGTCAACATAATCATGCACCGGCCCCGATCTACTTCATGCTAAGGAATCGCGTCGTTTCCCCGACATTCGCTCGTTACGAAGTGGCACGAGATAAAAACGTGCTCGCCATAAAATGGGATGACGGTACTCTGCGGGATTCAAACTCCGGATTGAAATGTAACTTTAATCTCGATTTAACTCACTTTTCATCTTTTTTCGGTTCTTATACATATACTATATATATATGTATATATAAGAGTGTTTGAGAAGTAATAGGGGTAGAATGAACTAAACTGAGAAGAAAAGTTCTCTATTTTACAATTTTTGCAATAGTTAACGAGATATTAATTTATAAAAATATCCAAATTCGCCCGGCCCACTGCAAGCGCGCGGATGAATACGACCGCCCAGCGAGGTGTTCGCCGTCGCTACACACGTTGTTTATATTGCCGGTTCTACATTAGTTGCAAGCCGACCGCAAGTTTGTTGCGACAGCCAATCTGAAGCGTTGATTTCAAAATGCAAGCTTGAGATTGGCTATCGCACTTGCGATCGACTTGCAACTAATGTAGAACCAGCTTTACAAGCAGCAATGGACGTTGTCTAACGCGACTATCTCATCGATCAATATTAAACAAAATATCTCTTTGAAATAACATGTATGCTTATAATTACAATATACAGTCATAATTGCTCCTTGAAAGCACAAGTACAATCTTCAAATAATCAACATGTGCTGTTCAGAAACCTAAACGCGAGAAGTGAACGAAATAAAGCTCAACTCTAATATACATATATTATATATAATTATTAATTATATATGTATTATTATTACTATTTTTTTTTATATATGTATACTAAAATCAGAATATTCCATTGAACTGGACGAAAATAATTTTTGTGAGAGCATTTTGACTTTCTTTTACTGCCCATTTATTTTATTTGCATACCAATTATTATTTGTAGCATAATTCTAGTTTCGCATTAAATACAAAAATGTAAAAAAATTCATCTAATTAAGTATTCCGCTAATCTACATAATGATTCATAATCATGATGATAAATATGCAACAGCATTTATATATATCTCGCTTATAGAAATAACTAAGATATTGGGTTTAATTATATAATACATTAGTATAATTGCTATATTGCAATATATTGAGAGAACATAATTCTTACATTGTGCAACAATGGCATAGTAACAAAATACTATAACATTATTGCATATTCGTAATATATATATATTTTATTTATATATATATATATATATATATATATATATATATATATATACAGATGATACAGATACTAGTATCTTGAAATTAATACTTCTGTCATTTTTTCTAAAAACATTTTTGTTTTTAAAATGCTTTTGACTTGAACATCTTGGTCTACTTCCACCATTTTGAAGATGTACAACAATGCTATGTTATACAAAACATTCTAATATATAACAATAATCACGATTAGTGAGTCAGAAAGACTTACTTTTTATCCATTAAAGGATAAAAATCTCATTTTTTAAGCGTTTGAAGGAAGTTTTAAAGCTATCAGCTGTATAATATTCGCGCGTCTGTCTCCTATAATTTTGCAATTATAAAAAACAGAACGAGTGTATATCAGTTGCATACGTTAAATAAGACACCAGCCAATCACAGTACTAGAAAAAATTAAAAAAAAAAAATTCCTAGGTAAAAGTCGCTGTGATTGGCAATGGGCAATTGCAACAATATGCAAACCGCGGTTGACAGAAACTACTTGCACCTCAAATTTCTATAAATTTATTACACACGCATGTAATAAATTTTATAAAAATTCCCTACACTATCAATTGTATAATTACAGTACAATCGTCGCGATACATACTTTATAGAAATTTACATTGCCTTTTAATTACATCATTAATTACATTTGTTACATGGTATATATTACAAGCTACGTATATTTTTATACAAATAACAGAGATAAGAAAGTAAAATTGTGCTCTTATTAAAATATACAGTACTACCAATAAAAATCATTCCAGATAAATTTGTGCAGCTTTACTCTTAATAACGCATAATATAATATCTGAATGTGTATAATTAAGAAGGAAACACGCTTAGAGCAAAAAGAAACATTTACTACTAATACTAATATACTATACAGATTATGTAGAACACTTGCTATTATAAATTATTTTAGATCAACATGAGTGCTCCTTTTGGTTCGTATCGTTCCGTTGTTGATTCTTTTATTATCATATCACAATATATATGTATATATACCATATTATAGATAAAATATTAGAATTCTGGTTTATGTCTTAAATTGGCCATCATTTGTGGATTAATTGTAAAACCCTGAGTAGTCACTAAATTAAACAAATATAATGATATCAGCTTCTCTCTCTTATACGCAGTTAATGTATCTGTAAATCAATGATTTAAATATTTCAAAATATGTTAAACTGATAAAAATATTTCCTCTTATATATATATAAAAAAAAGTAAATTTCGCGTTAATTTTTAATAATGTTATAATATAAAGTCTAGCAATATGATAGGGTAGCTACAACTTTTATCTGTGGTTTTCTCTTTCTTTAGTGAAGTAAGAAGTTTTTAATAACTAACTGATAGGGCACCAAGTAGCTCACCGTGCGATTGACTCGCGATTTATAGATCCGAATTCAATCCTATCTGCGCCCACACGTGATTTTTTTCCTAGTTTGCATATGTTGAAGAGTAATAAATATATTCTAATAACTAACTGTAAGTATCGTTCAATGACCATTTACCTCTATTAATTAGCGTCTTTATAAATAATATTGAGTTTGAATATATTAGTTTGTTTGTGTATATAAATAGGAATGAAATAACCAATACCATGTGAAATAATAATTTTCCATATGGTATTTATAAAAAAAATGTCTTTGAATTGTGCTCATTGTAACAGACTATAAATTACAATTAATACATGAGGTCAATATATATATAATTATCTTACAATCGCATACAAATTATATTAAAAATCAAATTAACAAGAGTTGAAAGAAATCAATGTAAACGTATTTATTATAACAACAAATAAATACGCTTATGACTTCTTTTAATTCTGATCAATTTTACGATTCACTATTAATTTATCTTTCAACTTGAGTCGATTTAATTCACTTTTGTCATTTCAATTGGAGTCGTATATAAACTGCATTAATTTTATAGGATCAAGAAAAGAATAATTAAATTATCATTAGTGATATTAACCTTCCAATGATAGAGAGTCAAGATTGGATGTGATCGTTATTTAAAACTTCACTAGTTAAAGCATTTTGTACTTTACTGCAATTATTTAAGATTAGTAATTTTACTTTTTTTTCGTCTATAAATAAACAGAAGAAGAATGTATTATTTACTTTTTTACTCATTTCATAAATTAATTAGATTAAAAAACCGGATTTGAATTTAACTATCTTTCTAGATACATTTTGAAAATCTATTTACTATTAGAGAAAAATTAAGTACTATTATATATATTCATAATATATTTTATTATATTTATAAAAGATGCTATAAATTATACTTTCAAATTATTGTAAGTAACTGATGTGTGTACAAAAATACAAATAACTCCAATTGAAATTTTATAGAAATGATCAATCGCATTTAACCATAGCATATGGAAAGTATTTCGTCTCGTGGAAAAATACACTTTGTCTCTAAGTCCTTCGTTGCTTTACCTTCCGATACATTCAACTCCGTAGTTGTCATGAATGATCAAGGTCTCATATTCCAGATAGGGCATTTCTTGGCCATTCAACGGTATGTAACATACTTGGTGATTCGGTTGTACCTTGCCGATGTGATAGATTCCTTCGTGTAATACTCTGCCGACGAATAAAGCGTAACCATCTTCAGTTTCACCGGCAGGTAGGGCATGTAGAGGCACGCTACCCTCCCAAGATTTCACCCAATTCACGTCCTTGCCACATAACACCTGGAATTCTCGTTTCTCGTGACCATTTCCACCCCATGCGATTGTGCAGATGTTGTCGCGAATTCCACCAGGGGTCACTGTGCCTTGATGATGCGCCCTACCGATGTACAAACCATCCTCAGAAGCCATCACTGCATTCCGAGGTAGTCCAAACGCCTCATTGAAATCCACCCAGAAATGGCACGTGTCCATTAGTTGTTGTCTGATAGCAGGCGATGTAAACTGGCATTCTGGTAGCACGAGTTAAAAAAAATTATTGCGTTTTTTCCACATATATTTGAATTAATCCACATAGGACATTAATGCACATTACAATTTATTTTATTATATTACTGTTCAGGAATTTTCAATCTTAAAAGACTAAAACAAATTCTGCAGTGATTCTATGAGTTCTGTTAGTGTACCTTCAATTATCCATTCTCCGGTTGCACCCCAAGCAGTACTAACTCCTATGTAATTTATGACAAATGGGTTTCTGTCTTTATAAGACATGAATGGCATGTCAAAATCATCCTCGCGACTAACACTTAATAGTCCATCGCAAGACCATCTATAGAACAGAAGTAAATGAAAGGTATATGTGTACAATTTTGTGTATTTAAATTCATGTTGAAATGAAATACATAATTTCCTTACTGTATGAAAATATCACATATCTCTTCAGGATTCAGTATGTCCCTAGTGTCTGCTTCTGCCACATCTGGTTCTGTATTATTTCTTTTTATTGCTGACATAGTATTCCCCCAGCCTCCAATAATAATCTAAGACAGTGCCAAATTAATATTATGTAATAAGAGAAATATTTTTATTGTTTACAAAAATATTAAAATATAATATATAAGTCATAAACATATCAAATTATTGCAAGGTAACATTACCTCATATACATTGGAGTCACTACCAAGATGCGTCCGTAAGGCAATTCTTGCATCATGGCTAGCTTTAATGCCTAAACTAACGCTGTTTTTTGTGATGGGTATATAACGATAATCGAGACTGTCTGCAGTTGTAATTCTGACTAGGAAAGAATTATCAATTAGTACGATTGATCAAGAAACTATTATTCTTCTGTTGAAGCTTTAAATAATCACGAGACAATTTGTAATGGAACTTACTTGGACTCATTTTTTGAAAAGCTAGATTTCTTATTTGACTGTACACAGAAGTCAATATCGAAATGGTTCATGCTAAATAGTCATACACAGCCCGCGTTCTCAAGGTGCTGTGCAGTCCACATCTCTGATGAATCTCTCATTATCTCAATTGGTTTATTACTTAAAACAAATAATTATATTAAAATTCCATGTACAAAAACATATTATTCGCTATTGATGATTACTATTGTATCATAAATGCAGTATATAATGTTTATGATATTGTTTTCTCATCTATTCCTTCCGAAAAACGCTTAGTTCCGTAAAATAGTGTAACATTATACGACACGGGTATTGGAAACGAGTATAAATCGTGTGATATAAAAGACGCAATAGCATATTCATGCGCGATTCATGAACTTCTACATTTTAAGAAAGCCTCAAGTGTGTGCGCGCGTGTGTGTGCGTGTAAGTCAAATCGGCGCGACGTGCCGAGCAACACAACACTGCGTCCGAATTTATGCAGATGATGCAACCGAGCACGTGCACGATCGTCGAGATGTCAATTGGCCCAATCGTTCGCTGTCTCGAGTGCAAAATCTGGCAAATCTACACATCTGCGACTTACTGACAGGCATGACAGCTCCCTGGCTATATCGTATAAATATCAACACCGGGAGCACTTGCGACGTGTGCGAAGAATGAACGAGAGAGCGAGCGATCCTATCCGATCGAGAAGACGCGATCGAACGAGCGTCACACGGTGATCGCGTCGCGAATCGCTAGTTTCTGTAATCCTGCACTTATAATACTCACATTCTCCACACAGATGGACCCGATAAGACGTCCCACTGTTTGACTTATTGTTGCAGGTGGGTTGGGAATGTTGGGTTGGAATGCCAACGATGTCGCGATTTTGTCGACGTATCGATACTTTCATCTCGATGTTCCCCAGCGATTAGCATCAATAGTTTTCGCTCTTTGCTACAAAATACTGACTATACTTTTGTCGCATGTATCACCGAAAAGCGTTCGGTGATACATTAATTATTAAGTATTATGATATTAAAGAGGTACTAGCTTATATAATATTAGATTACCGATGGTATCATGCTTGAAATAAAATGTCTTCGGGTTTGCGATATATCGCGCGCCAAGTTAAATTTGGAATTACAAACTTCTATATAAAAGTTTGTGGTTTCAGGATATGTTGCATGACATACATAATTGGCCTGAAGATACAATCGCATCAGCTACTTTTTCTCGAAGGTCAAGATTTTACTTGCGTTGATTTTAAAGAGAGTTTCATGTTCGGAATTAATTGCGTTCGACTTTCCATTCCGATTTTACTTTCCGTACACTATGACGTGCACGGATACTTACACGGTGTTACTAAGAGGTCATACATTATTCAATTTTTAATTATGAGAAACGCAACACATCTATAACGATAAGTATATATAATAATGCGTAATCATATAATTAAATCAATTAAAATCACTGCTCAACTTTTACCAAATGTATATATGTACTTGTTCATTTTAGATCTATATCTTTACGTTAAATTTTTGAGGATAGTATTTATAAATTATTTATTTATAAATTGATACGCCACGTATTTTCTTGCACGTATGTACGCATCTCAATGTACATTTAATGTGTTATCACAAATACACAATAATAATTAATATATGTATTGTGATTCAATTCGAACGCATTTTTTGTATTAAATAACATATAAAATTATATAAATTGATAGAATTTTTTATCTTGAATTCTGGCTCAAATTATAAATCGTCTAAAGTGAAAACTTTATTTTAATTGCGTATATTTAAATAATTAATTTAAATGAAATTAGAAAAAATCCAATTCCGTTCTACATGTTAATGTTAATATATCATATGCATATTTTCTTTCCTTTTATGTTACAAATAAATTAATAATATATATATGTATATTATTAATAATACTATATACATGTACATATATCAAACATGATGTACATTTACACAAAGATAGAATTGTTTTAAAAAAAGACACATTTTTTTATATCAAACGTTTTTCGCGTACTAACGTTGCATATAGTACGTATGCAAAACAATAGAGACATTGACATTTACATTCAACTGCCGGGGTTATTGCCGTTCAAGTACCTATTGAAATACATCTGATTAACTTAGGATCAGTGTGCTTGAATGAATACACATGCGAACGCACGTGCGTGCGCGGAAAGTAGAAAGCATTAAAAAGGACAACGAGCAAAACTGTAAACGCTGTACACGTGTACTTAGGCGTATAGGTACTATTCTGACTTCCGTGAATAAGTGGCAAAGAATTGTAATTTTTTCTGCTTCGTTTACGAACTTTCAAGCCAGCTGCACTAACTCGAAACACTGCGAATACATCTGGCACGTACATATGCACGCGAATAGTTTCAAAAGATTTAGCTCTAATGTACTCTTTCATTTTGCAATTTATCAGTCATGCTATCAAAGATAATATGGACATTATCTCCGTTCAACAGAAAATGCAACTGTTATAAAATATGTATTCTTTGATATAATTGCCCTTAGTTTCCTTCTGGATCTAAATATATATAATAAATCAATGATACCTATTAAAGAATCTTATAACAGCTGCAAAATTACTATTTTTGCTGAAAGTCATTATTAAATTTTATTTCATTTTATTTGTTTTAAGATCACACACAAACTCTATTTCTTTCGGATATGATTTATAATATCCGCGATAACAACTACAAAGTTAAATATAAAAGATTAATTGATATATATATATTATTTGCTGTAAATAATAAAAAGAAAATTAAGCGTTTGTGAGTGTACACTTTCTACAGTAAAAGTTTCAAACCGTGAGAAATAAAGTTCTCACATTAGATTTGCTATATTTAAGGGAATGGCAAAAAACTTTCTTTTTCACATAGCAACATTTATTATTCAAGCAAGACATTCGGTTCACGTACGCGTATGTAAAAAATATGTTTAAAATATCCTTTGGTCGGGGGAATTTCAATTAGTTCATTAAAAATTTTCGTAAAAACGTATATCTATAGATGTCCCGATTAAATAAAATCGATAAAACACATGATAAGTTTAGAATTATAATTAGATATACAAATATGTGAGTAATTTATCATCATATATGTATATGAAATTTTTATATTTAGTTAAGTAGTTATAACTATGCATTGCTATATAATTAAAATTGAAATAATTTCTGATATAGTAAAATTAATAATAACAGTTTTATATATATATTTCAATATTATTTTTTAGTAAATATCTAAATTTAATTTACTTTTTTTAATTAATTTGGTATCAATAAAATGAAGTTATACGCATGGTTTTTAAAAAATAATTTATAAATTTATAAATATATATATATAGGAATAATTTTGATTATGCTTTCTTATACTTTTTTACAGTTACGATTGATAGCATCTAATATTTTCTACGCTATATTGAGGAAATAATCTGATACTTGTTGAGGGTTAATTTCGTTAATGGCTAATTCGCAAATACATAGTATATTGATAATTGTATAAATCATGCTTAAATTACGCATTTTATTGCTTTACCGCGAATGTTTTAGCTGAAGAAATATTTCTCTTATTAACAGAAATAGGCTGTATACGATCGACTTATCCATTACCTATGGCGTGCAATCATATAGTGATATGAAAGAGTACTATAATATGACTGATTATTGTAATAAGATAAAGGCAGGGAGACAGCCTTCTTAAATTTATTTCATGCAGCCTTCGTGAATTAGACATGTAGGTAGGTCACAATACTGCACCTTATAGTTCATCATGCAATTGCACAGAGAAGTGACCCGTTGCTTTCCCTGTAAAAGCGAAGAGCTAAATCAGGTTGACTCGTTTCTCTCTGCTCTGTATGGTCGGGTCCCGACCAATGTCACATCAGTATGTGCGCACCGAGATCGCTTTTACCTTTTCGTAAAGCGAGGGAGTGGGCTGCTGGGGGTATAAAACAGAAAACAGCGGTTTTGCCAGCCAATATGTGTGTAGTTCCATTTTAGACACCAGAAAGGTGTCTAGTTCTATACTTGATTGACATTAAGTTATTATAAAAACGTGGCGAGAGTCAGTATGCTGCTAGTAAGTAAATACCAGTTCAATTTACAAGTGACGTTTGAATATTTCGGAAAGCAAAGTTTAGCACATTTATACCCGCGCGTACAGAAAAATGTTGTTAAGAAAAGTGATTGCACAGTTTATCATTTATTTAATGAAAAAAATTATTTAACAGAAAGTGTTTTTTTAAATAATAGTCTTGAAATGTACTTTTTAAAAATTTAATTCGTAAATTTAAAAATTCATTATATGTTATTAAAAAGAAATAAGAATTAATTTTCTTTTGAAGAATATATATTATAAAATTTCATCAAAGAAATGATTTTATACATATAATATAATATAAGCAAATCGAATTTATTTTAATTTATATATTGTATTTAATAATCTCGATTGAAGTATTAAATTTATTAGAATACAGAATACATTTCAAATAAATAATATTTATGATGAACTTATCATATATTTGTAGATATATAACTTTTATAATACTTGAAACAATTAATGATTAATATTTAAATGTATACTGTTTGTGTTTAATATCGCACATTACGTTTAATATCGTTTGTCAATATTTAAGAATATATAAAAATGGAAAAAAATTAAAATGCTGTATTTTTCTTGTGTAATTATATTAATTAATTATTCAGATTTACACAATGTACTTTGAAATTTGAAATTATGCGCATCGCTTTGCTTTCTAAAAGAAATTTTGATTTCTCTTTTAATTTGACATTAGATGATACATCGATTAATTTTTTATGATGTAATTATATTTTCAGAGTGCAGTGTTAATTTGTTGCATGATAGTTGCGAATGCAGAGCCGCCTCTGAACAGTATGTATTGCCATTATGTTGCTTTCTATATTCATGCATTTCCATAAAAGTCTTACGTACATAACTAAGATTACAATTTCAAATATTTACTTTATAAAAATAACGCGACACTACCGATAAAATTTTACAAAATAACGTTTTTTGTAAAGAGTATCGCGTTTCTGTCTTGTTACTTACAATTAAAAAGTAATAATTAATTTTGTTCGTAATGTAAAGTAAGATATTATATAGATTTAAAAATTACATTATTTAACAATCAATATTAAAACTTATTATTAGATATATAAAAATTAGAACTCTAATTTTTATATAATAATAAGCTTTTCTTTATATTAAACTTATTTAATAAATCTTCTATAATTCTTTATATTAATACATTTTATTATTTACTATATACTTGTTTTTAAGAATTACATTCATAAACGCAAATTTTATTAATAATTTAATTATACAATTTAATTAATAATTTATAGTACACGTTATCTGTATATTATACTGATTTTCATATTAACTATCGGAATGCGGCCTAAGATATAAATACAAATATTATTCAATATTTAAATTTCTATTTAAATAAAATATTTTTTTTAATACAAAATAATGCATTTTGTTGAATAAATATTAAAAACACAACAGGAATTAAAATAACGATAAAAGTAATGGCTGAATTCATTACTGTAAAATATAACGACATAACATTTTATGTCATTATAGACAAAAAAACCAACAACTGTTGTCTTAAAAAAGTAATGATAACGGTAACAAAATTACAAGTAACAATCGTTCTTTCCCACCCTTACTAATTGTAAGATTAATCATAATGCTTCCCGGCAAACATCAACTAACAATAACATAACTGTTATAATTTCTCATTCAACAATATAACTGTTACAGAAGTCATGTGTTATTAATTATATTATATTGTGATATTATTGAGTGGGAAATTATAACTAACAGAACTATATATTACTGTTAGTTAGTGTTTGCTAGGTTTTTTGTGAATTTATTATAGAACATTAGCAATATATTAAAATCTTCAATTAGAAATAAATTGACTTCAATTGAAACGTTATTTCGTTTTGTAGGCTACTCTTTTACTGGTAGTAGCAATGGGTACGATTACAGTAACACCATTCCTAGTAATGGATACTTGGGATCTAAGGATAGCTATCGAAACGGTGGAAGCTTTTACGGTGTTGGAGACATCAATCACAAATTACCGAACCATGTCGGCACTCACTCGTTAATTAACATCGGTAATCAGGGACATCAAGGTAATATCGGAGGAAATGACGTAGGAAACAGTTACAACGGATATTCCGCGAACGATCAAGGAAATGAATATGCAGGATATTCCAATACTTACGAGAATACCGCTAGCGAGTCTTACACTAAACCCACTTATCCAACGTCTTCACCACTCAGAGGATATATTGACGCTAATAATAATGAGGAATCGACCTTTAACGCATATGTAAGCGATTCGACTCACAAAGACTCTGATTTTGGTCAATACGCGACTAGCAGCAGCAGCAGCAGCAGCAGCAGCAGCAATAGCAATAAAAGAATACCCGCCTATTCCGGATACTCCAGGCCAACTCGGATATCAGACAATTATCCCGAAGGCTCTACTGATAACGGCGTACAGGGATATCTCGACTCGTCTGGTTCTTCAAGCTATTCCGAGAGTGATCACATCTATAACACGCCTTATTCGCCAGGCGGCCTGGCTAGCGAGTACTCGTTTGGAAAGCAGAAAAACGACCCGTTGAACTTGAAAGGAGGCAACAAGTACAGCGGCATTTACTCGATTTCATCCGGGACGCGTTACACACGGGGAAATCCTGGGTACGTGAACTTCAATCGCGATGTACCATCGTCGTTTATACCAGGAGATTCTGGATTGAACAGTCACTTCTCCAAGGCACACGGTACTTATTCTTCGGGAAAATTGAATAAATACGGCTACAAATTATCTCGTTACACTCCGAATAGCAGCGTAACTTATCCGTCGAGAGAACGCGATAGCTATTACATGCCTTATAGTAAGGGTGGTGGGAAAGTCATTATAATTAAGAACAATAACCCGAATTATACTGGTCGTGTTTATTCCGACGAGTCGCCTTACGCTGGCAGCAACGGTGATTATAGGAGTCAGAGTGGTTTTGCAAATGGTTTCTCCGCTTCGTCAAATTTTGATGGATACACTGGTAGTAGTAATTACAATAACGGTCCCACTATACTCAGACGATACAGGGCCAATGGTGGTCCTGTATTTGTGCAAAAGTCTGTTAATTTCCGTGATTAGTTTTTTATTTAAGATCATAATTAGAGAATATAGTACATGTTAATGTTTAAGATATTTGTATATATATTTATTTCATAAGTATTTTAATAAGGATTTCTTCAATGCATTATTCAGAATAAAAGTATTTGTCCATCTTTCGTAAATATCCAAGTGATTATTTATATTATTATATTTCCTTTTCAATTTCTCATATAATATAAATACTTTAAGAAGTTTTTTTTATAAATATCACGTCATAATAATGAATATAGGTGCACATGTTTCTTGACACGTTTTGTTTGCCAAGACTCCTCCTTTTCTAAGAACTTTTGTGTCTTTTTTTTTTAAGATAAATGCTTATTAAGTTCTTTAAATAGCACAAATTATAATATTTATTTAATATTATTAATCAACTTATACATATAAAGCAAATAAATATGTTTAAGATCTATGTGTATTTATTTTTTAAATATTTGAAAATTACATTTATTCGTTATTTTTATGATAAATATACGTATAAGAAAGAATTGATGATATCATCTACAAAAATACTTTAACGCACACATCTAATTCTACAATTTTGATATAATAAAATTATATAAATTTAAAATTTTCGAAATATTCACGGAGGAGTCCTTGATAATTTAGGCTTAGCTAAAAATGCCTCTTCTTCTTTAGCAAGTTCTGGGTCATTTTTCCATGAAGTATCATTAATTACATTGCTGTTACAGTTATTACTATTCCTATAAATAATACTTTACATAGATTTGTAATAGCTGTGAATAAGCAGAAGCATTCTTAACAAACAATAAATACTAATATAATTTATTTAATATCATCATTTGGTATAAAAATACATAAATTGCTATATAATAAAAACGATAACATTATATATACAAATAATACAAAATGTACAAATAATACAAAGCATGTGCTTCAAAAATAAATATTCCAAAGATGTGAGAGGTGCACCGTAATTGCAACAATTGCATAAAATAGTACTCACAGCGATGCTATACTACTAAATTTCTCCTGAATTTCTGTGAAAATCAGATTTAAATCTTTACTAAAATTATCGATATATAGTAAAAAAAATTAATTATTTATCTCCAATTATTTTTATCTTTTAACGCAACATAAATTTATAGGAAAAATATTGATTAAATTGATAATAAATGGTATGATGTATTCTAAACTATCATTTCAAACAACGCGCGAGGTGTTTTTTAAATAGTTTTAACAATTTTGAAATGTGTCATCTAACTGGTTAATATTTATCTGAGTTTCTATCACTTTCGTTACGTGCTCCAATTTTCCCAAGGTTCTACGTATATAGGGAAAGTTGTAAAGCTTTCACTAAATGTTGTTTGTGAATTATTCTGTTAATGTGCCAAGTTCGTAATTTTTAAGTCAGTTTCAACGACAATAGGGATATACTGAATACGTTACTATTCAAACAATAGCTATAATAATGCGAAGTATACATACCTGTTTGGCCATTTTCACGACCGGATACAAGAATTGTAGAAGATGTCACTGCAGTTTCACTGCTATCCCTGTAAATCGATATCTGTTAATTCTTACTGAACTATAGAAATAACTACAGTTATAAATGTAATTGCAAAATTAATTACGAAATAAGTTAATGATTATATTATGTGATATTTAATTTAATTATTTTTGCGTGCATGTGTGCGCGCTCAAATTATTCTTTAATTAATTAATAACGCACTTGGAAGTCCTATTTTCATACAAATAAATTGTATCGTTGGGTATTGTTCTTCCAGTGAAATTTCCCTTAAAAAATTTCATCGTCTCTGAAGGTAATTTTTCTAATTTTGTTTTCCTGAATTTCCCGTCATACAATTTTCCTGAACCAATCTTATCCTCTGATTTACATAACTTCGACTGATATAGCATATTATTTATTCTAAATCTTGAATTTACTTCTGTTCTAAATTGGTTATCGTAATCAAATTCGTAGCTATCATGATTGTTTTTTCTTATTGTATTTGCTGGCCAAATTATATTTTTTAATACAGTTATATCTCTCTTTTGTTTTTCATTTGATCGGTTATTGCCTCTCATAATTAAGGAGGATTCAGTACCGATAAACTTTTTTGTAATATTTTGAACTTTATCTGTAGAAAACGATTCTTTCGTGTCGTTTGTAATAATTTGCTGTTCCTTAAAAGTGTTTCCGACATTATCATATAAATAAAAAATAGAAATTAAGTTAATATCGTGAATCTGTTTAGAATATTATACCTTCAGAGAGAAATTTGACAAATCTGACAATTTAGCGAAGGTTGCTTGTTTAATACTTTCTTTTGGTAATATTTTATTTTTTATCTTGATATTATACCTACCATGTATGTTAATGTTATTATTATATTAAATTAGCAGTACTGCATACGCGCGCGTAATTTTTATATAATGTTATATTATTAAACATAATTTGAGGTCAATTTGGCTATTTTCTTTATGTAGGAAGAGTAACTATAATTTTAGGGTATATTATTTTTGTATACAAGTACCTTAGCGTAGGATATGATGGATGTTTATTACAGACGTGGTTCTTGTATTGATTTCTGTAAAAATCGATAGAATTCAGCGTGGATATTTGCTGTAGATTCGTATCTGTGTTTACAGCCTCTTGAGAAATTTTCGAAGAAACGCTATAACACATTGCAAGCAACGTTTCTCCGTTCAATTCGCCAACATAATTTTGCAGTGGATCGTTTTCGTCCAATTCATTTTCCAACACATCCAAATCTTCCTATGGAAATATTTGATGTTTAAATTCGCTTGGTGTTCAATATCATCGATATTTATATGGTATTTTTGTACTTGTATTTCTTTACTTACGTTATCATCATCCCCGGTCTCGTCATTTTGCGGTGTGTTAACATTTTCATATCTTTGTACTCTCAGTACATGATCTAGATGCTTTCTATTATGCCAAAATTATTATTTAAAAAATATAAAAGTTTCATTATCTTTTTAATCGTTTTTACGAATATAAATGTTCTAAATATTAAAATAAAAATTTAAAATTTCGATAAAAATATTAATGATAAATGTATTAAATGTACATTTATAATATATTATTTTATATATTTAATGTGGGAATTGTTGTCTTTAGAATTTTCATATTTTATATACCTTATTTCTACAGATTTCTGACTGTTACCAAGATATTCCGATATATTCGAACGTTTAATTTTTCTTGCTTCCTCATTGATTATGGGATTGTTCAAAAAATTGTTTAGCGCTCCATTGATGTAGGGTAGTGACTAATAAATGATACGAAAAATTCCTTTAAAAACATCTCTTATGTTAAATTTTCAAGATAAAATTTTTCTTTTCTAAAAAAATTTTTACTAAATGCGTAACTTTACTCACAGATGTATGATCTATTGAGAGAAGGACGATCAAAGTAGACATGAGTAATGAAGATATTTTGGACGCTCTAGCTTGTGCTAGTCGATGTAATGACAAGTTCATTAAAAGCGCAGTACCGTATTCAAGCCTATATAAATTTATGATGCGACATTTATCATGTAGATGATTAATCAACCATTCTAGTAATCCACTCTCTATCATATATATCCGTTGCTGTCTACGTAATGATAGTTTTTGTAACATCGCCACCATCATGTCACAAGCAAAAGGATCCACTCCATCAGCGTAATTATTGTCGAGACAAGCAAAAGTCTGAATACACCGAAAATTGCAATTTTTATTAATGCTATTCAATTTTGTGATCGTTATTTTATGATTGTCTTTGATTAATAATAGTTTTAGATAAATATATTAAAACTCGTTTGATTTTAATGTTGTAAATCTAAATGATGACAAGAATAGCATATCCAATCGACAAAAAGTAGGTAACGTAACATCTATATTATAATTTCGTACTTAATAATTAAACTGTCATGTAATACCTGTTATGTGTTATACGATCAAATAACATGAACGGTATATAGTACGTAAACTTATATTTAAAACCATCTTAAGTATAGTTTTAAGATGTTATAAGTTAAGTACAGAGCAATATTAGCATCTTAAGACAATCTTAAAATAAGAATGAACTATGAATGCCGACCATATATTATGTTACTTTTAATTAATAATTGGGGGATTATACCGTTAACTTATGTAAAAACATACTACGTTTATGACTGTGGATCCAACCGACAGGTAGTCCCTTCCGCATCTGAAGGATGCCAAGGTGTTCAACAATCGTGCAGTGAATTGTTGCAAAAGATGTCTGGCGTAAGCTTCTCCCGCTGTCAACAGACACGGTAGAATCGATTTACCATTGTCGCTAGCTATCTGTCCATGAAGTCCCAACAAATCACGACTTATATATTCGTGTAAGATTTCGTCCTGTTCTGCTGATTGCACGAGTGTTATTTTCTAAAAATATAAATGTGCTTTTTCTCAAAGATATCATCGAGCTATTGTAAAGTTATTGATTATCTTAATACCCAACGCAATGCTTGTAACAGTAACAACTTTGTCTTTACATCTCCGTTAATTAGATGTAATTTGATCTTTTTATAATCCAATAATTTGGAGGGTACCGGTATCGTTGTGACATCAATTTTAGGCAGTGCAATTGCTTTTACGTCAATACGATCGAGTTGTAACAAGGACGGCTATCGAAAAAATAGCCATGCATTAAAAATGAAGTTTATAGAAAAGTTTAGAAGATTACTCTATGAGCTCTTTCTTCTCTTTTCCTCTTTTACTTACATACGAAGTCTCTCTTATATTTTGATTAAACCAATCTGGAAATATCTTCATGCAAATCTCAAGGGTTCGTTGTATGTCAACATCTTGCCCTTTCACTGAATTCTCCAATGCCATCGTTAATTCTCCAGCAACATCTGTTAGTTTATGATAATCTGCGTGCAACTTGTGAAATCTCACTTTTAATTTTTCATAATTTGTATGTACACTGTATAAATGAGATTTGGTTAATGCTAATTCATGATTATATTGAATCAATCTTTTATCTGACTTGTGTATTTCCAACAAACTACTAATGCTTTCTTCCGGATTTGTTATATTTTCTCGCAAGTTATTGATTGTAATTTGACTTCCAGTAATATGTGTTTGTGTGCTTCTGTAAATCATAATATACAAAAAATTAGATATTTTTAAATCTTTTTGTCAAAATTCAATCAGAGGAAAGATATTTTACTTTGATTTTAAATTTGTTTTATTGGAAAAATTGTATCGTTCCTCATCGACGTGATCTAGAAATACAGGCAGATCCCTATCATTTGGCACAATCGGTACATTATTTTTTATAGTCTTATTATTTTGTGCGACATCAGATTCCACAGCTATTGCTTTGTTGCCGGCATGAACCTGTACTATATTCTGCAATTGCGTTTTATTAGAGTTTATACTGTCTAAATTGCTCAAATCCTACCAAATTTAATATTTATAATTTTTATACAATATTTTTCGTATTATATCGCGCGCGCGCGTATATATATAACAGTTTAAGTTTGCTTACTTCTTTGTGACGTGTGATAAATGAATTTATATTTTTTGATAGTTCATCAGCCCAATGTTGTTCTAACACTTTGGAGAAACAAGTATTTGTATATGGATCTTCAATAAATGGTAGTGCATAAAACGGTTGTAATTCCATATCAAATTCTAATTCTTTGCCATCTCCGTCCAAATAATCTTGTAATTGCTTCATGCTGCCCTTGTTTTTCAATTTCAATGGTATTGTTTTGTTTGTTATTAATAATATTCTTAGACTAATTATTGAAAGTATTTTATGTATAAAAAGTATTATATAAAATAATTAAATATTTTATAATATAAATTATTACATTAAACTCAAATATATAAAAATAATAAGAAAATGTTCAAGAAAATTAAATACGCACAGAAGATAATTTCTGTTCTATAATTCATTTTAAAAAATTCAAATTACCTCCATGCATTTTTCCAAAAGATCATTCTCTATTGAAGACGATTTCAGTGTACCTGTTTCTGATTCTGATGGTAGATCTAATCCACAAGAATTGACAATGTTACGTATACAATGTGTATATAATTATATCAAATTATGTACAATACTATATTATATTATATACCATTATCTGTTTTACCATATTCTTTATAT